TGTGTGTGTGTGTGTGTGTGTGTGTGTGTGTGTGTGTGTGTGTGTGTGTGTGTATGTATGTATGTATGTGTATGTGTAGATATATGCTCGTAAGTGCTGTGATTATTTCAAGAGACATATGTATTGGTGTGTAATTAGGTATGAAGAGTGTTAGCAAAGATCGAAGTGAAAGGATCTAAAAGGGCGGAAAAAGTAAGGGTGAGGAGATGAGAGAAGAATGAATAGCAGTGTTTCCGGCGGCATTGTCGCCAGGTTGTAATAACCTCCCCAGCACATCCAACTTTTTCATCTACTTTTCCTTTATGAAAAAGCTTATACGAATCGTTTATTTTGTTCTTGTTACTTCACTTCCTCTCCTTCTTTCTTTCTTTTCCTCCCTCTCTCTCTCATCAATTTAACATTTCACACATTTACACGTTTTTCTCTTTTCTCTTCCTTTTTTGTTTGTGTAAGAAATCAATGAATTAGTTTTAAGATTTAAACGTAGAATTTGAAAAATCACAGTTATAAATCAAATAATCAATTTGTTTTGTTCGTTAATCGTTCATTCAACTTTTTTTCAAAGAAAGCGAAAATGAAGTGACAGAGAGAAATATGAAAGTAAGAGCTATGATGGAGTAAAGTGGGAACAGACTGGTCGTACGTCACGTGATGTGATCAACTGGGACTGACTAGTCGGTTTCAGTACCGACAGAAATGTTGCAGGCTGGGACAGGTTGACTGACCGAGTGATTCACTGGAGAAGGAAACAGGTGGTTTCCCTCCTCTGCGGTAGGTGGCAGTGGCAATGACAGGGACAGTGCTTACTTGGAAGTGTCTTTCTCTTCGAAGGGGAAAGTTTGCAGTCCTTCTGGTGTACTGTTTGTTGTTTAGTATGTAGTAGCAATACTAATTACATTGTTGTTTGAGTATCTTCTTTCACTTCCGTGACCTCTAACCTCTAATTCCATTTCAATTGTACTATCTTCGTTTGTGAATGAAATAATTTGCTGAATTGCTGTTGTATTATAGCATTCTTGCATTTTGTATGCTATATCATTTTCTATATTTTATTAAACTCATCATTAAATTCATTTAATGATTACTATAAAATGCTATAAACTGGGGAAGAACTCTTTCTAAAGTTTACTGATAAACCCTTCAAACGGTTATCAGTTTCAAACGTTAATTATTATTTTTACGCATAGAAAGATTATAACAGATTATTTAAAAGAATTACAGAATTGTTTGATAGCTCATGATAATAATTAGAAAATATGTTGATTATAACTACAGTCCAAAACTCTTTCATTGTCATTCGTTTTTTTATATTTAAAATTTGTCTCTTTTTTTTTTCTCTCTCTCTCTCTCTCTCTCTTCCTATGTCATTAAATCAGCTTACTTTTAAGAAGGCAATATATCATTTTGATCTTTCTTCATTTCTTTTATGTTATTTTGATGAAAAATCATATAATTGATTTTTTTTTCATTAATTCTACTTATTTATTTGCTATTATAGTATATAAATTAGTCTTAAAAAAAATATTAACAGTGAAATGAGAGAATATTTGAAAGATAGACTAATAAATTTGTTGTTTAAAAAAATTTTATGAACAATTAAAATTTGAACATATGTTTAGATCAAATGCAAATGTGAATGGCATTAAAAAGCTTTAAAAGGTTAAATGTTTGATAATGTTCCATTATTTGTCAGAGTATTTAGTTTGTTAAGTTTCTTTTTCTCAATTTAATAAAAGAAGTGCAATTCGTGGGAAAACTTAGTGCTGAAAATGACACATTTTATGATACTAAATAAATTTAAAACATTTCTTAATATCACTATTAGTTCTACCAATTGTATCTATGAATGACATCTACAAGCTTTGATAAAGGTGTTAACATGATAATGATAATCATTCCAACCAACAAGTCAGTCTCCGCCGATCCAATAGATCCAGTATGCGTGATCTTATGCAAATTTACCATTTGAATGACTTATTAATCTCAACTTTTTAAATCTTTACTTGGTCACAGATTTTGCGTCTGACTTATATAGAATTGACTTCAGTCTCGATCGATTGCAATTATAGAATTGACTTCAGTCTCGATCGATTGCAGATTTTACGCATACTTTTGATACAAATTAAGCTTTGAGTTGAATGAACTTATTCTCAAAAATATGCCGACATTAAAGAAAAAAAAAGTACATCAAGTTTGATTGAAGAGAAGATGTATTTACAAAGATGGAAGCTAGCGAACTTCTCCAATGTTGTATTATTCATCCCGAGACATTACATTAGAGGAGAGAGAGGTTGGGAAGAGAAGATAATAGATGATGACAAAGATTGTTGACACACTAAATTTATTCATTTAATATGTGTTAATTAATATCTGTTTCCATAATTCCTGTAACCAAGTGACCTCTAACTGAAAGTTTTTCTCAAGAATTGAAGAAAAAAAAATGGTTGTTTAGATGTTAGTATTCGGTTTATTAATCGAATATGGCAAGCTTTTTTTAAAAAATTTTTGTTATTTTTCGATTATTCATTTTTCAGTATAATCATATATAATTCAATATAAAATAGCTGAAAATTGAAAAAATGGAAAATTACACCTCCTTTGTTATGATGAAATTGATGTTCAGATTTAATTCTCCCTTTTTTCTCGTAAAAATCTTGCGGATGAAAAATTAGGAATTTTATTAAGTTTTATCCATTAAAATTTCCAACACTAATAAATTAATTAATAGATTAATTAATCAAATAAATAGTAAATATATATTATAAATCTTTTTCACAACATGAATTTTGTTTTATTTTTTGCTAATTACTCGTTTTATTTCCTTTGTAATTATATTTATAATATCCTTTCTAATTATATATATATATATATATATATATATATATATATATATATATATGCATCAGAAAATACTTTTTTAATCAAAATATATGTTTTGTTCAATAATAATAAGTATTAATTGATTTATGTATTTGTTAATTAATGGTAATTCTAATAATAATAATAATAATTAATAATAATAATAATAAAACAGGAATAAAACTGCTGAATTGAATATTTTTGAATTTTTAGTTCAAAAGTGTCACTTTTACGATTGACAGAGTTTTTTATTAGAATTAATTTCTGTTATGAACTTTCGTCGTCGAGATTTCAGGATATTTCTTCGAGAAATATTCGGTGATTACATGTATATATAATTTGACGTATATATATGCATATAAATTTTCCAAATGTTATATTACAGAAATTTCAAAACCAAAGATGAAAACTTTGATGAATGATTCGATGAAAAATTTTCAATTTGAGGAATTACGAATAACAGAAAATCATTATTTTCCACTTCTGTTGTCACTTATAATACACAAACATACACACATACACAGAAAGAGACATGCACAGACAGACATATACCTATTGATGATCGGACTTTTCAGTCTTCGTTCTTTATTTTGTCTAGGACGTATCAGTTAGCAAGTTAGCAAAGCCGTTACTTAATTTCAAGGTTGTTTTCTCTTCCATTCCCTCTCTTCTTCCCTTACTTTTCTCGTTGTAAGTAATATTTGTTCCGGAAAACAACGAATCTTTCGATAGATATTTCAGGATATGTATGTGTATATATATATATACGATATTGAAATTTTTGTCACTGTATTATTTTGAAGTAATTTAAAGTTGATCACATATTATTTATGTGATATATGAAACATATGAAAATGACGAATAAAATATATAGAAGAATTTAGCATTGATTAATATGACAGTAAACATTTTCAAAATTAATAAGTCACGGGGAGTTAACTCTCTCCTTACTTCTCTCTCTCTCTCTCCCTTTTCCTTGCCACCCATTTATCTATTCCGTTCTACACCGACATTGTGTCAATTTAATTCATTTTCTTTTTGTTAGGTAACGGTTTATACCATCGTAAACATGTCAAAGATGAAATGACTTACGGTACAGTTATGTGTCAAAGGTCGAGTCACGCAACAATTCCTTTTTTTCTTTCTTTCTTTCTCCCTCTCTCTCTCTCTCTCTCTCTCCCTCTCCCTCTCCCTCCCTTCAAATGTATTCATTAGAATAACAACTGCTATAATAAATCTGCGTCTCCCGGCGTATTATACGTAACGTCACATAAATTTATACACACACATCTCGCTAGAAGTATCCCAATCTTGCGACCTTCTCTTTCTCTCTCTTTATCACCTTTCACCTTTACGTTCCTACCTCTCTCCGCTCACGCTCCCGCCTCGACATGCTGCATGTGTGTGTGTGCGTGCGCGCGTGTGTGCGTGTATGTCTGCACCAGGCATCACCCACCCCTCGACGTCTTTCCAGCTGACGATGTGATCACGCCTCCGTGCAGCAGCTGGCCCTTACGCGGAGTGATGTCCCGTCCGGCATGCCAATGTCTTCGGCGATGTCACCCTGTTCCGCACTACCCGTTTTTTGCGTGCTATTCATTTTGCTCATTCCGCTGCATGCGATTGATTCATTCTGCACATCTCGTTCATTCCTTCTCGCATGTACTTATGGCTGTTTCGCTATAATATGCAAAACTTCATGTAGTTCCACGCGTTGCAATTATTTCTTTAGCTTAATCTGAGAGTTACCCAATAAGAGGGTAAGAAAGGTAGGGTGAAATGTTGTTGATTTTCTGAATTCCTTTGCAAGAATTTGCAAATTTTCTCCCAAAAAAATTCACTCGGAAATACATCAAAAAGTTTTTCCTCTTCAGTTTATTTTTTCTTCTTTCAATGAAATTTTGGGATCAAAAATATGAATAAAAATTGATTGTGAATATTTCCAAATTTAATTTGTATTGCTGAGAAAAATTATAACTTAAAATCACAAAATAATTTAAATTGTTTTTATTTTCTACTTTTCTTCCTTTGTCTGGAAAAAAAGATTACAACTGTTACTTTTCTAATTTTTGTTTGGGTAATAAAAATAAATTAGGAGATGTAAAAAATTGTAAAATATGTTATTTATTTCAGGCGAAGTAATGGGCGAAGTTAATGGACCTGTCTGTTCACCTGAAATCGTTCTTGCCTCAGCTGGCAAGGTTGTTTCGTTTCTTTTTTTCGACCAGAACATTGAAATAAGCATATATTAATAAGCATTTGCATGCATGCTTTTGAAAATGTGTACAAAAATTGAAATAGAGAATGAAATTTTTAGCCTTATAATATCAAAATGCAATTAAAAAGATTAAAATATAGATGGATAGGAAAAAGAAAAAGGATCTAAATTGTTTATGATTTTTTAATTTCATTGTCTTTTTATCTTTTTTTGTTACTCCTTACCATCTCTCTTTTTTCCCTTAAAAAAGAAAAAACAAAGTTGATACGTTCATTTTTTTTTTTTTATTTATACATTTTTTAGGTCTGTATTTTTTTTTCGTTCTATTTTTATTTCAATAATTAATCATATTAGAAACATAGCAAACTTATGCCAAAAGCCATAGAAGATGGATCCTTTTAGAACTTTCTGCTGAAATAAAGTTGTCTTTAAACAGTTTGATGACTTATTTTTGGATCGTTTTTACGTGTTATTTATTGTAGATTGCATTAAATGGTTAAAATAATAAGTGTAACTGTCAACAAAATCTTTATTCAACTGTTTTCCTCAATAATCTAATGGACATTTCAGACATTATCGGAAAATGGACAAGAGAATTCACCGCATAATTCTGATTCTGGTCACGAAACATCATCGCCTGATTCACCATTAACACCCATTGAGGAAGGAGCTGTTTCTCCAGGTGATGATTCTTTCTTTGTTGTTTGGTTCGTCGTAAACGTCTAAGTCGCTTGACATTCAGCCGGGAGTTTTGTAAATTGGTCTCATGTATATCTGTTGTCAGAAGAATTTTCGAATATCATCGTTTATCAGACCACTTAATACATTGAACTTTTTTTCTTTTTCAAAATGCTGACAACTTGTTGTTTTAATGCTTGAAAAGAATAATGAAAAACTATGAACAGATATGTCAGTGAATCATCATTTCTAAATTACGAGCTAATGTTTCACCCTTTTCACAAAAAATACCAATTGATATTTCATTTTCATTTCATTTCACAAAGAGAAAATTACACAGTTGTGTTTCAGTTGATAGATTGGAATGATTGGCAGAATTTGTCATTATTATGTTTGTGATAGAACAGTGTGTAAAAAATTAGCAATTTTATAATTTTTAATTAACATTTTATGTATGAGAATAAAAAATGTAATGGAGCATTCACCATAAAAATATTATGCATTTAATTTGCACCCATTGATTCAGAATTATAATTCAAAATTATATTCGCATATGAATATGATTTGGATGCATGAGGCATTGCTTTACTAGAATGCAAAAAATGCATGATTTACAAATAATGATGCTCTATCGTATTAACAGATATTCATTTATGCTAGGTTAGATAAATGATTACCAGAAAATAATTCAGTTATCTTCATCGATTTAAGACAACAAAGTAATATTTCTAACTTACGTATAATACATAGGCATTTCAGATTCACTTCCTATATAATACGGTAATAAACAGAAATTAAAATATTATACCAAAATTTTTTTATCTATTTGAATAAAAATTTGTTTGATAAGTAAATAGTTAGTGAAGAATCTGCAGTAGGTATCATAAATCTTAGTAAGTGAATGAAATTGTGAATATATTATTATATTATCTCAGAGTATTATTATATTATCTTGAATATCTGGTTAGGCGTCTGCAATGATCTTTCCATCATTTATTTGTATTCCTTTTCCGTTGAAATTACTGCTAGAGTTGAGGTGATTTCCGTGACTGCTTTGGTAAAATTAATTTATGCTATAGTGTCATACTTTCCAGAGTCTTACATGCTTGTAGAAATAAGTTCATTATTATATTCGATGAGTTAAAAATGTAATTGGGACACAAGGAATTGGAAAAAAATTTTCGAAATTGTTTTTCAGTTATTATTAGAAATATTTACTCAACCACATAACTAAAAAACACGCTGGTGGTGTATTTTTTATTCACCTAATTCATAACATCCGTAATTGTTATCTAAACTATGTTAATATTAAAACCATCTCATAATACATAACCTGAGTTGTAACAACAGTAGTTTGACAATGTAGACATATGCGAGAAAGATTTCAATAAGTTAAGGAGTCATTTAGTAATAATTCCTTAACTTACTTTTCGTCAAACAAGTCAGGATCAAATTCATGGTTCTACCGAGGAAACTTTGCATTAATAAAGATGTTGAAAAATTGTTTTCAGCGGCGGAAAAGACTGGTAACGATGGTGAGGTATTGTGTCCGAGTGATGAATGCGATACATTTCGTATCCGTATTATTGCACCTGGTGCAGAACCGTTCGACTTACAGGTATGCGCCGGTTTATGTGCTTCATGCTAAATCATAGTGTTATTGTTCTCCAAATTTGAGGATTCATAGTGTTAAGAATAGCTCCAAATCATTGGCTTTCAATTCGATCAAAGTGAAATTTACAGTTTGGCAAGCGAAAAACGTTGAGAAAAATTGGCACTCATCTTCATGACTTCTGCCCATTATGTTTACTTCATTCAACTTTTTTCCTCTTCTGCAATTTCTCGTTGTTTGTAAATTCGATATACGAATTTTTTTAACGAACAGAGAAAGGATGTACCTAATTCAATAATAGTACATTTCATTAGTTGAAAGGAAAAAAATTTTCAGGTAAATTCAAATGAAATGGTGCAGGAGCTACATCAGGTGCTGCTAGAACGTGAAGCAACGTGTCATCGTACGTGTTTCAGCCTGCAGTTAAATGGTGTCTCACTGGATCATTTTACCGAATTAAAAAATATTTCTGGTCTTACAGATGGATCTGTGTTGAGAGTTGTCGAAGGCAAGGATATGGCTTCTTCGGTTTCAATGTAATTTGGTTGGGAATTTCTCGGAAAGTTAAAATATACCAAATATTATTTGTCGGATCGTTAACATAAGTTGACTTTTATTAAGTCATCCTTATAGCAAGAAATAAGTAATGATCACAGAAGTGATACTGAAAATGAAACTTCGAAATTTACATGGATCACGAATTAATCAAGAGAAGTATTTGTAATCTTTAATACTTAGAAAAAAAAAAATAAATGTGGGGTCTTTGTAGTGCAATATATGATCGAGTAACATCAGATTTTTAAAAATTTTTACGTTTGTTTTTGTCCCTTAAATCTATAATCACGTTTGTTGTTTCAGAACCGTATACAACCCGAGAAGCTCGAATTCATGTTCGACATATTCGTGATCTAATTCGTTCTCTTGATATGTCTGATGCTGTTAATGGTACTGATGGTGCATCAATGTCATATCTTGCTTCAATGACGTTAGGAGATCGCAAAAAAAACGCTGATAAGTAGGCGTTTTAATACAAAGCAGATTTTTTTTCTATGCAAATGCTGTGGTATATTCTATTATTGATATCAACTCGTTGAGTAGTACTCTGTGATATAACTTTTCTACTGCAATGCGTTGCAACAATGAATAGAAGATTAATTTATAGAAGTTATTAGTTAAAAGCATAAATACTGAGTTAGAAATATCACATTTTTTAGGACATTAGAATGTTCTCCTCCAGATTATGTCTTACCAGGATATAAGGAACGTCCATTAATACCATTATTACCGGTGATGAAAGAACCTGTATTAGCGTTGAAAAGTTTGGCAATTTCACCGTTTAATCCACCACCAGGACATCGCAAGTTGAAGGTTTACCAATAAAAATCGTTTCCAAAACTTTTAAAATTCCAACGTATTAACATCAATAAATCTTAAGGAAACTTTTTTTTCATAATTCTGCAAGCAGTAAATTATATGAACTTGTATAGGGAGATGTTCTCTATTTGACGTTTGATACAAGAGAAGGACGACGTTATCATATAACTTGCTGTACGAAAGGCTTCTATGTGAATGCAACCACCGAAGCAGGTTTTCGACCAACACCCTCACCGTCACATAGGACTGTCCACCATTCACTGTTGGATTTGCTTTCCTCAATTAGCATTTCATTTAAACGTGCTATGGCATTAATTTTGAAGAGACGTTCCGAAAAGCATATTTTCGAACGATTACCAACACCGTATCAGGTATTATGATTTTGTCAAAATCCATAGTGAAATGATTTTCAGTATTTTTACTGTCCTTTTTGCAAGTTGAAACTTTAAAGTCTAACTAGTCGATCTAATGAATTTACTTAGATTGAAGAAATGAATAAATTGATATTATTGTCAACATAATATGTAAACTTTATTTACCCACTTGCCTTTTGAAAGGTATCTCATATAAAGTTGCACCCATTACGGGTTATGCATCTATTTATTTTAAATTTCTTGTGTTATTTTCAATTAGCAGCCAGCAGTTTTTTTGCACACATAATTGCTTATGAAAAATGATGCGAAATTATAATTTTCATTGTTGCTATGAAAATCGGGAAAGTTCCCGATCAAAAGGATACTGCTGAGTGTGTTCAAAATTTCGTTGATTTAAAAAAAATTTTTCGTTGGTCTCTTAATCATAAAAACTAACACTTCTTTATAGGTAAATTCGTGGATAGCACCGGTATTCGAGCAAATTGAAGATGGAATTCGTGCAGAAGACTGTACACAACCTCATAAAATTGGTCTTGAAGATCATATTCCTGGACAAATTCGTGATTGGAACGAGGAACTGCAAACGACTCACGAATTACCACGTGAAACACTCGGTGAACGACTCATTCGAGAAAGAGCTATCTTTAAAATTCACAGCGACTTTGTTTCTGCTGCGATTAAAGTAAATGTTTGTCACCTTTTTATTTTGAGCATCTTTATTAATATCTCAAAACTTAATGTCCTTTTCAAATAATTCAATGGACTATCATAAGTTTTTTCTTTTCTGTTTGTGTATGTGTGATATTTTAACAACTTTATATTCCTAAAAATAAATCACAGAAAAAGAAGTTAGTGTGAGCTTTTTCGGAAAGCATCGTGAAAAGGCGAGGGAAAAAGTCCCACTGATTACATCTATTTGGAATAGTCCAAATGATTCTTATGCTTGCTAAATTTTATCAAGAAAGAAATTTTTTTTTTCCAAATTACCATATAGTTTTTTTTTTTTTTCTGGGAGCAATGGCAGTTGTCGATGGAAATGTTGTTGCAATAAATCCGGCTGATGAACCACGAACTCATATGTATATATGGAATAATATATTCTTTTCGCTTGGGTTTGATGTTAAAGATCATTATAAGGTTAGATTAGCATATTTTGTTGAACAAGTTTCTTCATCATTATTATTTTATAATGATTTAAGTTCCAATTTAGGGTTTTTGATTTTTTTTTTTCTTAAAAGTGTAGACTAATGATTCAAGCACTATTAACTGTTAGCTTGAAAATTCCCGAGCTTTGATAGCTTACTTGGAATATCTGTGAACACATTTCAAGAAAAGCAACATTTTTCTATGTTGGAAAATTTCATTAACTTGTAGTTATTTACGAAGGTGAAATTATACTATCAAATGAGCTAATTTTATAATAACTTTCGAGGTTACATTACAGGATTTGGGAGGCGATGCAGCTGCCCATGCAGCAACATCGAATGATTTACAGGGTGTACGAGCTTATGCGCAACTTGACAATCCAAAACTTTTTACTTTGGGCATGGTCATTGTCGATTATAAAGGATTTCGGTAATTATGCTTCTTTTAAGGATACAAAGGATATTCATGAGCATGTAGAGAAGATTCAATAAAAGGATCTAGCTTTAATATTTAATCATGCAGAGAAAGGCGTTTATAACATTTCTTAATTTTTCAGATTCTTAATAGCAATAATTTCTCATAGCTATTAGAATATAACCATTATGTTCGTAAGTTTTAACATTATTCATTTGATTAATGAATGAACGCAAATGCATTATAGAGTAACTGCACAATCGATTATACCAGGTATTCTGGAGAGAGAACAGGAGCAAAGTGTGATTTACGGGTCGGTCGATTTTGGTAAGACAGTTGTTAGTTCTGAGGTAGGTGTTTCTTTTTAAAATTTAAAAATTTTTTTTCAATAGCAACTGCATTTTTTCATTCTTACATCCAAATGATATGCGAATTTAGTTAAATTTTTAGAAGAAAATAGTTAGTTTAAGTAGTTTTTGATTCTGAACGTTATTTCAATTTCTTCTTTATCTGTCGAATATTTTGATAGGAATATCACGATTTATTATCGAAGCCAGCAGAGCAGTTGAAAATTTTACCTCATGAAGTTCACAGTGGCAAAGATGATGGGAAAATCATTAAGCTGTGCTCATCTTTTGAAACTAAGGTAAGCATCTTTTTTGTCGGTTTCAGTCAGAGTAATGCTATAGATGGACGCAACTGTTGTTATTTTATCATATCGTTTTTTTTTTTTTCGAGAAAAAATACCGTTTATATATTGTTTTTTTTTTTTTTTTTTTTTTTTTAGAGTATTTTACTATTCTTTTTTTTTTTTTTTTTTTTTTGAGAGTATTTTTTCACATATCAGTACGACATTTTGAGCTTTTTAGTGTACTAGAGAATTTCTCAGTTTAAAGAGAAAATATACCTTATAAATTGATTGGTCCTTTTAATCAAAGTGCTGTTAAAATGATGCAGATAAATTGAAGGTGGACGAATAAAATTCCTAAAACATATACAAATGTTTTCGAAAGCAAATCAATGTATTGTTTGAGCGAAGTAATTCGTTGCCAAAAGATATGCAGTTCAGTAAATGACCTACTACAATTGAGCTTTCTTTCATTTATGACCTATACTACTATTGAGCTGGAAATTCTTTGATTTATAATATATTACAAAATATTTTCGTAGCCGAATTACAGTTGAAGTGAATATGAAAAACAAAATATAATTTGTTTCTGAGAAATAGTAACACTAGTTTGTTAATTATTTACTTTTTTTCAGGGTATTGTCGGAAACGATTCGCGACATTATATTTTAGATCTATTAAGAACTTTTCCACCAGATGTAAATTATCTTGAAGATGCGGAAGTAACAGATATTTGTAAAGCAAATGGATATCCACGTACATTTCCACATAAGCTTGCTTCGTTGAGGCAGGAACTAATTGACGCTTTCGTCGAGTTCGTTTTTTTTTCTTCTACTTTTTTAATATTTTATATTTTGCGCATAATCCACGGTATTTAAACTGGTTGTATATGCATTTCCATTTATGAGTCCGTTAAACAATATTTACGGTGGAACAAGAATATTCATTACGTAATGGCAAGCATTAATGTAACATCGATTTTGTTTAATGAGATATCATTTGTTTCTCTTAAAGGTACCGTTATTTGATGTTTATTCGTATAGCTGCATATCATGTGCAACAAACTAAGCTAGGATTGTTGGAAACGGATTATAATGATGATAAGAAAGAAACGACAAAAGAAGATACTGTTCTAAAAGTGACAGGATTTAGTGAAGATGCAATTATGAGTCAAATCAAGGTATTTTAATGAAAATGTTGGATTTTAATATTTTCTGAGAAGATAGGATTGGAAACCGTATAAAAAATACTGAGAGAGAATCGTCCCTTTTTTGGTCTTTCAATGTTTGCTTGCTAATTTTTGCAAACACTAATAGAAATTGTTGCGAGAACAAATTTTTTAATTCCTTGCTGTTTTAGCTTTCTTTCTTGTTGCTTGTCATATGTCGGATTAGATTCGGATCTCTTCAAAAATATTCATTATAAAATAATATCAATTAATTTACATGAAAAACTGCAGCAATATTCTTAGCTTTCGCTTAATTTAAGACAAAAATAAAATTCAGGATATCCAAAAATTGAATGTAAGACTTGATTATTGTTACAATTACCATTATTTTTATAAGTTGTTTATATGAAGTAGCTGTGTAATTTGATTACAATAACAATGATTCTTATCAATGACAACTGTATTTAGTTCCTATCAGTTCTTGTAAATTTTTTTTTCATATATTTTACTAGTCATAATTAGAAAATTCTTTCCTTTTTTTATAGAGGGAAATAACTGCTGATATAAAAATTGATGAAATGCCATTGTTGGAAACTGAAGCAGCAAAAAAAATTATGGAAGAGGTTATTGATAGCGATCATAAGAAAGTTGACAGTTTGGATAAAGAAATATCTGAAACGGTAAGTGCTGTCTGGATTTACAGCAGTTTTTTCACTACAGTCTTCGTATAATTCTAGGTTTTTAGAGATTTAAATTTTCATATTACTAAAAAATTTTTTTCTGAAGAAAATGATCATTTATTATTTTGAAGATAATGGCAAAGGCAGCAAAAGCAGTAGGATCAATTCGCATGGATGCATTTGATGTTAGATTTAATCCGGATTGTTACTGTTCAACAGTACGCCATGCCGAAAGTGAAGATATTACAAAGCAGCGACGTTTGGTAGCTGAAGCAGCTGAATTTTTAATTGTACAGGTATAGAATGCATTACTTCAAGTGCTTTTTTTTTTAATTTCTTAATATATAGGAAATATTTTAGATGGTAATTGCAAGTGTAATAAGCGTATTGCGTAGTGATCTTCGATATTGTTGATCTAAAAAACTGATCGGTTTACATCATATGTAATATTAAAGAAGCACTAGTCTGATAGAATGGGATATTCTTGCTGATTTTAGAAATATTTCATAGCTGTCAACTTATTCAAATGTCTACTGTTATTTTTATTGTAGTTGCTATTTCATTTAGCAATTACCAAATTTCGTTCGTGACTGCTTGCAACGTACGATAATGCTACTGGATGGCGCATCGCTTATCGATTCGTTACATTCACGTGGTATCAATATCCGATATCTGGGTAAACTGACAAAATATATCCAAAATGTTGGACAATTAAGTTATGTTAAGGTAAATAGGTGCTTTTTTTTGTCGTAGCTATTGTCTAAACATTATAAACACTATAGTAAAATTTATTCTCGTTGTTGTATTCGGCATATGTATTCATTTGTTTCATTTACAAGAATTGTCGTTTTAGTGGAATTTGCGGTCATACTTAATGTGCTTAATTGCTCACTCATGCATCCTATTTTTCAGTAACTTATTCATCTGAGATTGGTAATTAATTTCAAAGTTTCTACATAAATTCTAGGTGATCTGTATCACGGAATTGTTATGTCGGTGTGCAAAGCATATCTTTCGCGGCTATCTTCAACCTGTATCATCAGCGCATACAGCAGCGGCAGTATCACATTTCTTGAATTGTCTTCTGAGTTCATCAACTGAACCTCTAACACCATCTAATGAAGAAGTTAGTTTCGTTTTTGCTTTTTAATTCTTTCTTGCAATTTTTAGCCACAATTTAAAACTTGTTTCACTGAAGAGATGTGTCCATTATGACGGATGTTACTGTAGCAATTTGTGTAAATAACCTATGTGTTATAAATAAAACTGAATTAAATTTATGCTTTATTTCCAGGTATCGATGCCGATAAATAGTGTGAAAAAGTCGCGTTCATCAAAGCGTCGGAAACAGATCAGCAGTGGTGGTAAAGAAAATGATGACTGGGCTCAAATGTCGTCGCACAAGCTTTGGGAACGAGTCAAATCAGATGCTGATTTTTATTATGCGTTTACAATTGATGAAGAAAATATTGATGCATATTTATCCACAGTTGGAATTCAAAAAACTTCTTTTTTACGCCGTTTTGTACAAATAGTTGGAATCCAGGTATTATTTTGATGAAAAGATGGTTTAATGAATTATGCTTTTATTGTTCAAAAAGTACAAAGTGCGAAGACAATCCTCATTTTTTTATTTATGATTTAGTTGAAAAATATTTTCTTTATAATATGAATGGAATATCATAATTTATCTCGTAAGTCTTTGAAGATGAAGTAATATCATCCTTTAGTCTGCTTTGAACTCTGAGAAAAAATGCTAAAAAAGGAAAATTGTTTTGAAATGTGGCAAATAGATTCCATTACAAAGATCCAGAACAAAAAGAAAAGTTCATAAGTGCAAATGATAAAAAACGAAGAGAAATTTTAGTGCAGTGAAATTTTAACTTTAAATTCTAGAAATTTTGTTGAATGATAGCATATATATTTTCAGATGCTTTTGCGGGATTACAATTTAGAATCAGGGAAGAAATCACAACTATTCGTTGAGGATGATATTCAAAGTTTGTATTGTCAAGCGAAGCATGTTGATCCAAAAGCTGTAGATGCTCACAGTTTGTTCCTTTCTGGACAAACCAAAGTGCAGCAAGGTAAAGTTTATTGCAACTCGTTCTTCATTTATTGTTCGAGTAATTTGATCATTTACTGGTGTTGTGAATCAGATAATTCAATACAAGGTGGTAAATGTTAATTTACTTCAATCCACTGCTGTGAAAATAAGGCATGGGAATTGTCCAAAGGAAGAGGTGTTGAAATATGAAAGCTGTTTAAGTCAGATATAGATGTTTCGCATTTTGATATTTTTATGAGCTGACGATTTATTTCATTTTTTTTGTACAAGCATAACTAGAGCACTGCTGTGAAATGTGCCCATAAATAGAAGATGGAGGAGTGTGCTTCATATACTTATGGTGCACATTAAATAATTCATTATTTTCACATTTCTATGATGTTTTTTAAATCTATTTCCAGGTCAGTTACGTGCCGGATTTGATTTAGTATTAGAATCTCTTAATCTAATGAATAGTGTATATGGCGCGATGCATTCTGATATGGCGCAATGTATGCGTTTGCTTGCTCGTCTTTCATACATCCTTGGTGATCCGTCTGAAGCGCTGTCGCAACAACACAAAGCAACATTGATGAGCGAGCGCTGTAATGGTTTGGATAGTGCTAATACCATTATTGAATATGTTAGTTTTTTTTTATGAGAAACTCGAATTATTTTCAGGGAAAAATTATCATTTCTAGGTTTGGTAACGGAAAATTTGCTATAGAGTAATCTTTTAAGACCTATTTTCTTCATTTTTGCCAGTTTTGATTCTTAGTTTTATGCCTCATCTTAGTAAACAGAAACAGTATTATAAAAAAGAATAGTCGCTTTAATAAAGGTAGCATGTATTTTTATATTATCCAAAGATCACTCGTTTACTTGCATAACATATCCACTTCGTTTTTGAGACTTTATATAGATAAATCAGTACTGTAAACATTTCATCTATATAGGTCAGCACTAAGACTTTTTATTCAGTATAGTTCCGACATTTCATTTTTTTACGTCAGCAAGTACAAACTAATAAATTTAACCCCTCTAATTCTTATGTTTGGTTTTATAATTTAACCATTTTCTTGTTTCAGTTGAATCTTGCTCATTTTTCATTTGCAAATCTTCATATTGCTGCTGCATTGAAATTACTTTATCGAGCACGTTATTTGTTACTACTTATTCATGGTATATTTTAAAGTTTTTTTTCTGTACTCTATTGTTTGACATTTTTGTTCACTTTATGTTGTCTGCATTTATTGTCATCCATAACTGTAAATAGACAAATAAATATATATGAATAAATGAAATATTTTAAAAAGTGTGATGGAAGGTTATCATAAGTTAGAGAAATAGTACATAATTTGGAGTTTCTTTTTACGCCAACAATATTTGTTTTTGATCAGTGTTCAAATTTAATGATCTCTGTGTTCTCTTGAAGGGGAAAACCATCCATTCATGGCTGAAATAGATGGCAATATTGGCGTAATATTATATGCCGTGCAGGAATTCGATGATGCATTGAAATTCCTTCAAAATGCACTGAAATTGCACCAGATCTATTTGGAACCACAGGCTTTGAAGACAGCACTTATATATCATTTGTTGGCAAGGACTTATTCGTGTCGTGGAGATTTCCGCACTGCCTTACAAATGGAAAAGGTATATTAGAAACAGAGGATTGATCAAATATTTACACTTTCTTTTTGTTCATATAATTTAGAATTTTTTGAAATATTACTTTTACATGGGTGGTTTGTAATTTGCAGAGTTTTCTTATCAGATCCTATAAAATCCTGGAAAAAAAATTTTTTGGAGAAATTGAAATACTTCATTTTCAACTTTTTGAGCTAAAATTTTGTTTAATTCTAATAGATTTAAAAAATGATGCAAATTAAAAAAAATCTAGGAAACATTTACAATTTATTCAAAAACATTTGGCATTGATCATGAAAAGACGAAAGAAAGCAGTGACTGTTTGAAACATTTGACGCAGCAGGCTGTTACTTTCCAAAAACGTATCAATGAAGCTAATCGGCAGGGTTCTAACAATATTGGACAGCTTCTTCCTGTTGAGGTTTGCATGTTTGAAAACTCTCCTGAACTTGACATATGAAATTACTTTGCTATATTTAAAGGATTTTGAGAAATATAGAGGCTGAATGTTTATGAGTAAAACGAAGCAATTATTTTTCCTGTTAGATTCTTGATTACCTAGGTTGAAACTAAGTCTTGTGCATTTGAAAGATCTTTACTGCAAGTATTTTACAGATATTGGAATGATGAGAACGTATTAAGAAAAATTAAATAGAATTGGTTTAGCATGGTCAAAAATTCAAATAAATTTTCATTTAAATCATGTTTTCAGATTCATCGTCCATCATTACATAGTGTACTTGAAGTATTAAATATATTGAATGGGATCATATTTATACAACTCAAAGGTATTTCAACATCTTCGGATATCGGTGAAGAAAATTATGAACTGGGAAATAATAATAACAATAATAACAAAAGGAAGAAAAAAGCTGTGGAAGATTTGGCAGTGAAAAAGAATGGAAATAATGATGATACAACAGTAATTTCATCACGACCACAGGTGAATAATATGAGCGGGAGCAGCACCGTACAAGTCATGCAAGAAGTTGCTTTAGATTAAAAATTTTGGGAGGGATGTTGTATCATCAATTTCAATTCCTCTCTTCTAAACTAGTTTTTTCTCAACATATTTCGAATAGTTTTTTTTTTTTTTTTTGATTGTAATGTAAAGGATTAGATAGTAAGTAAGCTACAATAATTAAAGGTACTGTTCGAACTTTGAAACATGTTACAAAGAGTGAAATTATAACAAGTTAGTAGTAAAACGCAGATTATGCATATTATTCAGATGTTTGAATTTGAGAATTTTCTGCATTTCTGTCCTTTTTAAACTAAATTATATTAAAAATTTTTAATTTAAATTATAGTGGAATATATTCATTAGCTGCTTTTAGTATCATTCAGATCGAATACTGCTCATTATTTGTTTTCCGAAGTGTTCTTATTGCCAGTAGCTTTGTTCATTCAATTTTTTTTTTACATTTACAAAGTATTCATTCTTGCTGCTCATACAACATTTGTTGTTTTTTTTTCTCAATTTATTTTTTTTACATTTGTAAAGTAGAAGTTTTGCATGGTAACCGAAATTGTGCACATGTTATTGTTGCTGTTACTAAACGATAAATTCCGTTAAATCTGAAACTTAAAGTTGGTAGTTTTGGAAGATTTTATTTTTCGAAAAAGCTCAACAAAATATCCCTATCTGTATCGTTTAAATCACATATAGGCTGTAGGAGTTTTTGCATTTCCCCAGCGATTTCATGGAGAGTGAATTATTGAACTCGTAATACATTGTAGTGTTTATGTTGAAGTATACAATGTAGATAATTTTATCTGTTTGAAACACTTCGTAATTTCCAGTCCTTTTTTTAACGATATTGCTTCATCGAAGGACAGAAAAAGGAAGGGAAAGAGGATGGAGCAGTATCTTAAATTTAAATAGGAGATAAATTTTGTTGATCGGATCGGGGAGAGAGGGTGCATATTGCTGAGATACATGCCTCATCCTAAAGAGTTATTTTTTCTTTTCTTTAGTGAATGCTAAAGACCTGATCTTTCTTTTCATGCAATTTAAACTTTTCTTATCTGTTTGTTCAGTTATTAACAGATATTTGTGTAGTGTATCATCGTAGTATTAAATCAAGTTATGAATTTATTGGATGCCATATTTTCTGTTGATTTTTTTGCAGACCTTTCCCGATGATATATGTAATAACTATTTCGTGTACGGTGTGATAATGATCCTATTATTACAGGAATGCATATTATCCCAAATTATTATTTTTCAGTACCCACTAATTGAAAATATCAGGAAGCATCAACCTTGAAAAAAGTAGTTTGCATTTCTATTATTTGAAAAACTGATGCATTTCTGCTGAGAAAACATATGTTTCGTTTCATTTTCTTTCTCAGTTTTTAAATTTGAATACGATTATTACTATTACAGCTATGATCAATAATAGCAAATACGAACAATACATTAGAGTAAGTCATAGTTGGTCGCCTGTTTAGTTGCAGATGAATCGAAATATGTAACGATCGCACTCTGAAGGATCTAAATCTTATACTTTTCTCTAAGAAAATAATTGAAATAGAAGGATGAAGTGTGGATTATAAAATATTTCAAAATTTCTAATCTTTAAATTCAGCAATATTCGTTTTGGAATGAAAATTTTAAAAGTAGCTGATAGCAATGCATCTATTCGTATTTTTTTCCGGAATGTTTTTTGTTTGTGTTCATTAGTTTTCTCGTTTTCTTGTTAGCTAACCGTTTGAATTTGAAAGTGACGGGTTTAATTTTATTTTTTCCTCTTTTTATTATTTGTGTTTTTTTTTTTTTTTTTTTTTTTTTTTATTATTTGTAAATTACTTGCGCTTGTTGAATTTCTGTTTCCTTTTTTGATTCTTTGCTACCTCATTATCAAAAATTTTCGAAATCCATAATGGATCATAGGTATGTATATTACATGCACGTCTCTCTCTCTCTCTGTGTGTGTGTCTGTACCTGACGTAAAATTCTATAATTGTACGAAGTGCCTATGCATTTTGTAAAATGCAGCCAAATTCTACGATGGTATTCTACTAAACGAATAAGATTAAACGTATGTCTGTATCAATCCTATATTTACCGGAAAAACATTCTCAGTAAATTTAGCTTTATAGTTAAATCCTTTTCTAGACTTTAATTATGAGGAAGATTGTTTGCAAAAAATAAATGAATCAGGAATGATTTTAATAAAGCATTCTTCTCCTCAATTTTATTTTTAAATACCACCCTGATTTATAAAAATACAATCTTTCTAGACTTTAATACTGACAGGAAGGCACAATTCTCTCTAAATTATTCTCGTCCATATTCAGTTTATAAGACATTGCAAATGTTTTTCCTGTACGATTTATTCGAATCCACCTAAACCAACGGGTCAGAAAGCTAAGGTGATTAAGATTGAGGCCATAAAATCAAAACTAGCCGGATAATTCGAGAGTCAGTATCAGTATCTGTGGTAGTGGTTGAAGGAAAATCAGGGCTGGGATTACTTGACTAGATTACTGAAAATTATTTTTAAAAAATGAGATGAGGGAGATACAAGTGAATTATCCATTAATATCACGAATCAAAAAATAAAAATTGATTTTAGAGCAGTCCTTGAAATTGTAATCAAGTGTATAAATAATTCCCCAATGAGAAATGACGATTACAATTTTACAATAAAAACTGGAATTAATTTCTGTGAAATGAAAGAAAGGCTGTGATTACTTCTGAAAGTAATTCAATAGAAATCTAGGATTGGAAATTCAAGGTACAAAGTGAGAGCAGTTGGCGATTTTTTCTGCCAGTACTTTTTGTAGTATTTTTTATCTTTTTTATAAGAAAAAAATATGAGATAAAGCAAAATCCATCGGTTTTCAACGAGATAATGCAATGGATTCTACAAGTCCCACAACTAAAAGATCGAAATAAATATGCTAAATGGAGGAATATCCTCTAAAGAAAACAGAGGTTGTAAGTTTTTTGACGCCAACAATAATAACAATATATAAATTTCATTATCACCTACTACTTTTCCCTACTGTACCTTCTTCAATTTCTGTCGTTTTCTAGCTACATCAACATAATCATCATTGGCTGATAAGCTGCGATGTAGTAACGATATGTTCGATAGTCCAGTAAATATGTCTTCCACAAAAGAGAGAGCCTGAAATTTGAAACGTTTAACATTACAAAAGACTGATACAAGATTAAAGTAAATTATTCCGCATCACTTTTATGAAATACTCGCTCTCGCTTCAGTTCACGTCTAGTAAGTAATAAATGAAAACGTAAAAAAACCTTTTGATGATTGAAAAACAGATATGCAATGAGGAAGAAAAACGGAAGTGCGAAATAGCTACCACCAGATATTTCCACTTCAAATTTCCGCTGAAAATTTAATGAAGTAGGTTATAAAAGGAAGCTATAGATAAAGTTAATTACCAAAATATGAGAAAAAAAAAAAAACGGAAAATTTTGATAAGGCAATTTTGATTAGTATGCAATCAATCACAACCACATTACCGTACGAAAATCGTATCATAAAGTGAGATATTAAAAAAGGCCAAACTATAACGTTTAAAAAAAATCTAAAATTTTTGATTCATTAAAATCGACAGCTACATAAGTAAGAGACTATTTTCTAAAAGTGCACATTAGAATTTCAACATGTAATTGAGCAATACTAGTGAGAGATATATTAATAGAAGATAATGCACAATAAGTAGTTTATTCAGAGAAATATCTAACAAATAACTTCTGGAAATAAAAAGAATGAAAGACAAAAAAATAATTCAAAAAAGAAAAAAAAGAAGTACTTTGTTACACACAAATATTACAACTAACCTGTGAACGTACAGTTAACGATACGGCTTTAAATGTTTCATTTGCGGTGAAGAAAACTTCGGTAGAATCTAACTTCTGATTACCTATACCATAAATTGTTTCAAATCGAATCGAGTATACCTTTAAAAAGAAAAAAAAAAAATCTCGTACAGAAAACTCAATTGTAACAACTGTAACTAATTTCTCACTAATAATTTCGTTCAACACGATAAAATGAGGAGTGAAATTATTTAGTTACAATTGATATCAAGGAATGTAGAAAGTACTGATCTTGTGTTATGTTCAATCATCCATTTATCAGTGTATAATAATAGCACTAACTAGATACTTTTAATAATTCCTATATAAAATTTAAAAAAAAAAAAAAAAAAAAACAAAAATCAGAAATCCACGAGAATGCAACTCACAACATTATCCACTGCAGGAATTTCGAAAAAAAATACAGTGGATGGTGCCACAACGGTTGTTTGATGAACTAAATTATCGCTTTTGTAAAGACCAATTTTATACTGCGGTGGAGGATTAATATCAACAAATACAACATCACCAGCAATATCTACTCGTTCATCGATATGTGTTAACACGAAATCAATGTTCCTAACATCTTCGGCATTTACCTAAAGAAAAAAAAAAAAAAAAAAAAAAAACAATATCACACAAATAGATATTGTTTACTTGATTATTCGAGTAATAGTAAAGCTTCGAAACAATCTGAAGTTAAAAGATTATACCCCAAACTATTCATTAGTTCAATATCTACATGATTATTTATTATATATATGAAATAATATGCTTGACATTAAGAAGGTAAATTTGATATTCACTTATGATAGAATATTAATCAGTCTTTTCCTGCTTTTTGCTTCATTTCATCTTCTAACTAATTACTTGAAAATGTACCATAATATGATAATGTGTTGGGTATGAGTGCAAGCGCTGACCGCTCGGTGTTTTTAACACCAACCGATAAACGCAATTCGGATGAAGACCACGAATCCGATATTCACCATTTTCATTCGTTGTGTCTTCCTCTTGCAACTGATTGCATTGTTCCGACACCGCTTCGACAGCCATTGCCGATACTGGTTGATCAGCTGGGTATGAAACTTTGCCAAAAACACTGTAAGTTTCTTTCTTTCTTTTTTAGAAAATATTAGACCGAAAATTACAATCTAGCAGATAAGAGATTTCAGATATAGTGAAGTACACAATCTAACATAAAATTAACAGTCAGTCCTGGAACTTAAAAGATTGTTGAATGACAAAAAAGTATGAACAAACACGAAAAAAAAGCCTCATTAGTAGGCTGATATTTTACCCACAGTAAATTAGGAAATTTGACATTTACCTGTATGCAAATCGATGCCCCTTCAAATTTACTGTCTCAAATTCACCAGCTTTGATATTTACTGTGATTGATTTTGGATCAAATTTATACTCTTGTAGTATCGGACGTAAAAAATATTCGCCAGGTGGCTGAAAACAAATGTTAGATTATTTAATGATATAAAGTGCAAAAAATCATGCAATACTTTTAGGCAATTTATTCCAAATTCAATTTTATCCTGTAGCAATCAGTTCTACCGAAATTTGTTTGCAGCAAAATATATATACATATATTGTGTTAAAATATAATCAATTAAAATAACAAAACAAAGAAGTCAGAGTGTTTTAATTATACTGAAATGCATACTGAACACTTCAAGTTACTCATACACTATATTGCTTTCCATAAACATAAAATATCAGTATTTAAAGCGGGACAAAAACTTTTAGCAACTCACTAGGCCAATGAAAATGATTTTTCCGGTATTATCTATGAAATTATTCGACCGATAATTCTCAGCACCGCTCAAAGAAATGAGTACATTAGAAAGTGGTTCGTTCGTCTCAGCATCAGTAGCAATAATGATCAGTTGTGACAATTTTATGGCATTCAACACTCCTAGTTTCTGTGTTTTTTCAAATTTATATCCACTTTTCTCAGCAGTTATATCGAAATCTTTGACAGTTCGCATTGGACCCAACCTGAAAACGATTTATCAAAAACTTTTTATATTTTCTTTGCAACATAATTGCATAGACAAGACTTCGAATCAATCAATTAATTGGGCGGTAATCAATCAATTTATCAAACTGTCAGTTAGCCATTAAGCAAATGGGAGAAATTTAATGCAAGTTGATTACAGCCAAAATCCTGCATCAACACAATTACCTGAATTTGCCGTTAGCATCGGTCACTGATTCAAGAATAACATTTGGATCACTTTTATGTGATGAACGGATATTCACACCTTTGACAGCTGGCACCACTTGTCCTTCCAAAAAGATACCTTTATCAGCTCTAAAAGTTATTTCGTCCAAATGACATTCACCTGAAAGCAAAAATATGTCATTACAAAAGTAACGGAGTAAGAAGTAGGATAAAATTAAAAAAGCTCACCGTTGAACTTAAAAATATGAGAAGCTGGATTGAAAAGATAAGTTTTCGACTGAGGTTTAAGTGTAACAAGTGCATCAGCATCCAATGCTGATAAATAAAATGTGAAAGTTAATATTTTTTCCGTCGAAGAAGTTACCTAAATGACTTTATTTTAAAACAAAATAGCTGAAGAAAACGAACAGTAAGAATATAAGAATAATTAAGAAAAAATGCATGTATTCGAAATGCCAAAGATTTCCACAGTTCTATGCAAATGTTGTTACAGTGCAGATGAGAATTTTCTATGATTTTCCTTACGTATACCTCAAAACTCCTTCTTACACAAAAATTACACAATCGTACAGCATATTTTTGCATATGCTTGTATCCACTTATGTATAATCCCAGTTGATAAAGTAATGGAGCCAAATTTATTAAGCAATCCATTTCACAGGTGCAAGGATTATTCCCATGTTAGCAACGTTTACATGTTGCATTAACCTCATTACCGGCTGAGTCAGTCAACTGATCAGTTAGTTGCATTGTTTAAGTTACTGAAGAGAAAGGAAAAGATTGCAAGAAAGATAAAAATACCGGAATCATTTGCTGGTCAGTATTGGATTTCACAGATAAGGTAAAATCGTTAAGTCGATTCACCATATGGTCCAATTTAATCGAAGCGGACATTAAAAATTTCGAAGCCGATGCAACAAGTGGAACTTTTTGTGGAATACTAATTTCGTATGATTGTTTGTCAAATTTATGACAAGCTTCAAGTATAACAATATAAATTCCGGTTAAAGGGATGCAGAAGAAAAACTGCCCAGCCGGTATATCAAGTGAACCATTGACTTCAGATTTCTCCAACATGCTCCATTTCTAAAATAAGTGAATGGATATTTTTTGGACACAGTCTACATTTGCACAATATTGACTACTTCTGTTAATAAACAAGAACCATAAATACTATTTTCAGTGATATAATCCAAACCGCTTTAGCCGGATGTGACAATCGGGTTGTCGTCCGATATCCAACTTGACGAAATATGAGGTTATTTAAGTCAGCACGTTCAATAACAATATCCATTTCAGTTTTTTCCCAACAAAATCGATCGTCATCTATCATTTTCACTAAAAATTAATTGTGGTATAATTTTCGTATTTCGTAATTTTTTCCCATCATTTCTTAATTTTTAAAAATACGAGATAATTATTAAAAAATAATTTTCCCGAATCATACTAATACGGTGAAAATATACTTACATTTATAGGAATCCGGTAGCACTTCATAGAAAATAAATTGATCGGTGCCTTCAAGGCTTTTTATTAATACTTCTCCTTTCCACATTTCCATCTTCAAAGTAACACAGTCATCTGCAACGCAACATTACATATCAAATGTCATATCGCCACATCGATTATTATGGATTATTATGGAAAATTCATCATTCGAAACCCCACAATTTAAATCTAATACCACGTCATAATTTTTTTTCCAGTTTGCTGGAAAATTTTTGGCTAGATCAAAAAACAAGAAATAAAATCAGGAAAGAAATGACATGCATAAATTCCAGATAAAAAAGAACTTTCCGATATGACAGTAACCTAAACCTGATTTAATTTTACAAACAGTAACTGAAGAAATACAAACCTATACAGATGACACTAATATTCACATCAGTTTTGAACTGACTAAATACAATATCAAGCGCAGGTCCTTTCGACAAGTCTATTTCACTTTGTTTTGGGGTCATTACAACAGCGCTTACAGATGAAACCTAAAATCACAATTCATGCAATTGAATAAAATGAAACAAAAAAAAAAAAAATAGATTTTAATCTTTTAGATCTTTTAATCTTTTAACAGATATAAAAAATGCATTCATCGGTGACAAAGCATATAGTCTTTGAAGTCAGAATAAATATTTGCTTATCTCTTCTTTTTACACGTCTATATAATGCTGTCCAGATATTAAATGAATTAAAAATTATTTGAACAGCCCAGCACTCTTCTGGTAAATCAATGAGATCCTTTTCAGTGTAAAATTTTTATTATTGTTGTTAACAAATGAACATATAATTAAAGTAATGCCAGGCTTTTTGTTTTAGACACAAAATAACCCCCTAAGGATATAAGGAATTTAAAAAAGAAAAAGTATGAATAAAAGACTGAAACTGAACCGAAACAATATATCTGCCAACAGCATGCAAACTACACGTTTTACCATCGTTTTTAGTACTCAATAATTTCACGGCTTTTGTTTGCTGATTTGTAAAAATGATTGACATTGCACGACTAATGCTTTCTTCCGCATTTATCGTAACACACACGTCTACACTGAAAAAGTGCAAATATTGTGAGAATTAATAATTATTATTTCAAAATTTTGACATTTTCAAATGTGATGCTATGCAAATATAATAATTTTTACGTCGAAAATGAAAAACCGTTTGTGTAATTCGTTGATTTATCAATGAATTACATTCTTATCGAATAGCCACATATTAATAGCATATTTTAGATTAAAAATCACTTTAATCTTCGATTTCAGCTCAGATGAATAGCATAAGAGTATAAAGTGGTTGAATAGTTCGATTAAGTTCAAAACATGTTTATGAAATATTCGAAAGATAAACATAATTTACCTTTCTGCAACAATATCCGGAATTTCAGCTTTTTTTGCAGTCAATTTAATGCTTATCGTGTTAAAAGCAAAATGATCTTTTTTGGCAGTTATTGTGTAGTCTTCATCTTGTAAGCCGTCAAGTGCATACCTAAAGTCAGGAAAGAACAATAGTAAAACTGAAAAATATTATGAAACTGTCGAAAATGATTATCATAACAATTTAATTTATCGCTGCTCAAACTGGTTTTTTAGTCTAAAAGTTACCATCCGCTTGCATCGGTTTTTCCTTTCATTTCACCATTCACATAAATAGTTGCATCGACAACTGGCTGTCCAGATAAGAGCACTTGACCTTTGCTACTAAATCCAAGTGTGTTGAAAATAACCTTCAAACAAACAGAAATATTATTAATAATAGCTAACTGGAAATAAGAGTTAATTTGGTACTGCGAATCTTATGTACTTCTATATATCGTATGAATACTTTTTCTGGGTGAAGAAAAACTAAATAGGAGATATAGTCAACCATCAGTACTACAAAATATTTATGACATCTTAGTTATGCACGACATAGTTAATAATTTATAAAATATGTATGCATACATATGGATTGAAGATGTATATTCCGTCATAAGCAATAGTAGAAATGAAAAGGTGGCCAACCTCAATTTTTAACAAATATAAAAATGATAAAAGCATAAAAATTAAGTTCTTCGATTCAAAAAATTGAAAAATACGACCTTCTCCGCTGATGATCTCATCATGATTTCCTTCATTTTTGGTGAAAAACTGAAACGAATTTTGTCGGTAGCAAAAGATGGTTGGATAGTATACGGTCCTGGTGGAAGACATGGGAATTGAGCTATACCATTACTGTCGGTTTTCATTTTGCAAGCAAACTTTTCATCAAGTTGTGTTCCTTCTTTTTCCATATGAACTAATCCCTCGTCGCAGTATGACAACTATAAAAGGATGACAAGAAGAGTCAAAAAACTTTAATACTGAAACATGATCTATATTAATTTGCACTATTAACTTACACAAAACATTATCTTTTAGCAAGTGTGATCTAACATAGCAAGATATGTCTGCATACAATAATTACATATTTATGCATTTAATATATTCTAAAAAAAAAAAAAAAAACAATTGCTAATTATTTTTGTGAGTAGCCTATAGTTAGCGCTAAATATGTCTTCTCAGAGAAATGACAGCTCCAAAAATTCTAATAAGTATTTTGAAACACTAAGAAAAGTAATTACATTGTTAGACAGCTTTTGTAACATACTTTTACAGCAATTTTTGAATAAAGTGCTACAGTAACTCCAGCTACTTGATGGTTTTTGGATAAAACAGCAACTGTTAACAAATGTCCTGATATTTTCAAATCCGGTGATACATGAATTGGTGATGTCGTAATTGATACCGGTACTTTACCACGCTCAATGCATTCTGTACTGTTACCTGCCGTTGATACCTTTATGGAAACACAGAAATAATTATTAATAAGTAGAAATGTCGGACAAAAATTAATTAGTTGCTGAAATTTAAAAAAGAAAAAAAAGTTTCAATGAAATTATCGTATCATGATCTATAACGATTCGGTTTTTTTGTGTCGAACACAGTTATTCTAAGAATCTATCTCAGTTACTCAGTTACTGAAATAAAACAACGATAATTTCAGCTTACAACTAGGAAACAATTTTACACAGATCGCTTACTAAATATTTTCCTGGTGAAGCTCGAAATCGATATGCACCATTTGCAACTGTTTTCGCCTCCGATACAATGGTACCATTTTCAGCAATAAGAATTAATGCAACATCTGCAGGTCCATTACCATCACCACTTCGTAGTATACCTTCCACAGCGAAAGCATTCAAAACAAAATTTATATCTTCACCTTTTGTGCACAAATCATTCTTCCCATCTACTTTCAGATCAAAAGTACTTGGCTCTGAAATAAAGTTTGCACATTTTTATTTATCCATTTTCCCGAGGGAGAAAGATTAAAAGTAATGAAGTAAAAGGAAAAAAAAAGAAGAATGAAGAGGCCAGCAAATGAATCCAGGAAATATTTTGCAGCTATAGAGTTATTTTTATTTCATTTTCCTTTCAAGAGTTTTAAAACATAATAATTAAGAAATGGTAATGGATCTTCAAAACAATGTTTACCAAAGAACCATCCATCTGGAGCGAAAAGGCGTATTGAATAATCTCCTTTGTTATATACCGGAATCATATAATAACCATTCGTCGGACTGCATTCCGTTTCAAATTTCAAATTTCCTTCAGCAGTAAATAGTTTAACCTACTAATAAATTTGATCAATTAAAGAATAAACCATTCCTATACAATGGAAGAAATATACGAATATCCAATTATTTAAATTAATAATACTCTTTATAAAAAAATGTCATCCTTCGTTGGCATTACTTCCGGCTCCCAAGCAGAATGTTTATTTCTAAAATGATTGAATTTTTGACCTTCCAAAAGTAAAAAAAATAAGAAACTAAGCTATAGTATAGGAGATTAATTAAATTCTAAATTTCTGTATCAGTACTCTACCATCATTTGCTCAATAAAATATTCTAATAATGGTATCTGCTCTACAATACTAAATTAAATATATTGCAACCTGTATTTTCGAATAATCGATTGGAACATCTGGTGATTTCACAAAACCCCCACAACTGTAAACTTCAGCTGTTACCGTCGAAACAGATATCGAAATCAGTACAAGCCATTTAATTTTATCCATAAAACTCATACCTTCAATGTATGAAAAGTTTAGTCAGAAATTTCCATAAGTATGTTCATTTTTGCTCTTTTTAAATGTGCAAATGGGTAGCGCAGTAATTACTAACATCATTGCAATAAGTAAGAGAATAAGGAGCAGCACGAACTTTGACACGCACTACCAAATATCTTGATTTACTTTATTATAACATAGGAAGCGAAATCAGAAGTGTAAAATAACAGGATAATAAGTTTCCAAATCACGTATGAGAATATTTAAGATAGTTACAACATAAAATTTATGAAAAAATATTATAAATAATCTAAAAACAATAAATTATAATTAAAAACAATAATGAATCAAAAAGGATTGAAATAATTCTTTAAAAAAAAAAAAAAGTGAAAACATGAATAATACAGTCCGTTCGTAATAACCGAAATTGCTAACTAACAAGAAAATTTTTTGAACGCTTAATAGCAGTTACATATTTTTCCAACTACCATGCACCTAGAATTGTTACATTAATGAAACAGAGTTTCGATGAATGAGTCGAAACAGTCACATAATTAGAGTCGAACATTTGCAATTGATATCTAAACTATGTTAATATTAAAACCATCTCATAATACATAACCTGAGTTGTAACAATAGTAGTTTGACAATGTAGACATATGCGAGAAAGATTTCAATAAGTTAAGGAATCACTGCTATAACAACTATATATAGACCATATGTACACTTAAAACTTAATAAAAAGAAAAATCTAGCTCACTTATAAAACATATTTCAGCATATTCTTTCATTAGCACAGTAAAACAACCTTGAACTCCAGTGTTAATTGAGCAAACTTAAACAGCTTACATAATTTCAGTAATCGCAGTGTTCACTTAATAATTTCATCCTTTCTTCTGCAATAATCTTAAAATGATTATTACTAGCACAATTCATATATCAACCCTTGTGTTTAGTTCCATTAACGGTTTACAGAATTTGCATGATAACATGAAAGTTTCGTATTGTTCGATTTGTATTGTAGCCAGATGTATACCGTGCTTGAAGCGTATAAGTCTACTAGCTACTTGCATTGTTTCGGTTGCTTTCTCTGGTTCATCTGCAATGAATATCAAAAAGTGAGTGCAATTTATTCACTACTCCAAAACTGCTAAAAATGGCTCATAAAATAATTCTTAATACAAACGATAATAAACACTAGAGCATTCCCAGCTGATCACATTATTCTAAGGCTGCATTCAGTTTCATTGGCTAATTCTCGCTTTTGTGAAAAACTTTAGATACAGAAACTTGAACTTAACAATGGCAGTGCACTATTAATAATACAAGCATTTAGATTACGGTTAAAAATATTGAAGATATGCTATATATTGTTAAGCATTAATTTCAAAAAATAAAGGAATTGCATTTGTATGTTCATGCATTTTATAAAAGCAAGCATACCAATGGCCAAATGAACTGCTAAAGCTGTTTTGTCCATATTTAATGACCATACATGCAAGCTATGCAATGTTCTTACACCATTTATGTTCAACAAATCATTTTGCAAGCTACCATAATTGATATGTGAAGGTGTTCCTAAAAATTAATAATGTCCCATACTCAGTGCCAATCACAAATTTGGTTATGCAACAAAATAAATTTGAAAAAAATGGTAACAGCTTGAAAAAAGTGACCTTAACGCCAGAGGAAAAAAGGAAGAATTAATTTTGTGAAGTTTTTATTTAAGAAGTATGGGAAATAAAGGTTTTACCAATACCTTCCATCAATATGAAGAAAATGTCACGAATAACAGTAACACTTGTGAAAAGCACGATTATAGAAAATAGAAAAGTGCATAACGGATCAGCTAATTTCCAATCTGTTACCTGCAATAAATAAAGCTGTAGGAAAATGTAAAGAGGAAGTGATCTGCAATGTTAATGAAATCTTTTTCTTCTAAATTTACAAATAAAGAAAATCTTTTTCTTGCTCTTCTCATTCTACTAAAAAGAATATCCGTGACAGAAAATACAATATCAGCAACAACACACTACCAACTTGCCTTAATGACGATAGCAGCAGTTAGAACACCAATGCTCTGGATAAAATCACCGAGAACATGGATGAAAGCCGCGCGTACATTCACATTAGTACTAAACAATGTAACCCAATAAGTTTGAAAATGCATCTTTATTACAGTTACATTCTTATTAATATCACGTACGGTAAAATCAGTTTTCAAAACACAATTTCGGTTACTGTTAATCAGATAAAAATTTGAAAAAAGTACCTACTGGCTGTGACTATGACCTATATCTTGTGGATGAGCACAACGGAAATACCGCAAAACGAGTCCCATTATAATATTAAATATTACGCCTGCGCTTGCTGTTACAATCATTGTATTTGCATCAACCTGAAACTGTCACACCAAATAAAATCCTCCGATTTAAAAAAAGACCTACATAATTGGGAAATTTGTCTAAATCAAATTTAAAAAAAAAAGAAAGGAAATATATGTTTCTATAATAAAAAGGAGAATACAAGTTCTTTTTTATTCTCGATATTTCACCTTAATATCATTATCATATGATTAAATTAAATCATAGAAACATATATTAAATTCAAACATAATTTTTACTAACAACGTAAAAAGTTTTTTCAAATTCCGATATTATTTTTTAAAAGAAAATTTTATTCGTAAATAAAATCTGTTATCCATTTAGTACTTTCTGGACGACTAATACCATATTTGATTGGCATTTTTCAAAGTGCATTTCGAATATATAACTTTGATATTGTGCAAATAATTTTATTTACTTAGCATTTCAAACGCTTATGGTATGCCAAGCATTACAAGAACTATTACTATTCCAATAAATTTGCCCTATTATACGTCTCATACAATGGGAAGTCAAATTTCCTAAGGAATTCTACAGTTCTCAATAAGTTAATTTAAATACCAATGGTTGCATTTTTCTTAAATTAACATATTAAGATTGGAATGCTCATTTATTGTTAGAGTCAAAACTTGAGTCGTTTAAACACATAATTCGGGTTATCACTAAATTATGGATAAAAAAAAGATGCTATTACAAGCACAATAAACAAACAAACATTGAAATTATTATTGATAATCCGCTGTAAAGCAAGCATAACAAGCATCGTTGTAAGAATCCATATGATTATAATCGATATCGTAGCACCCAAAATCTCCGCACGAAGGAAACCAAATGATAAGCGGTAATTTGCTACAACTTTCACTGTAGTTTACACAGTCAGTATTAGATTATTTAACATTTTCTATTGGTGTAATCAATATGCAATGTACAAACCGTACATCCAAATCAAATCAAAATTGCTCATTCTGTATACAATTTAGATTTTCTTTTCTTTCTGGTTTCCAATACAGATCCCTTTCATGTTTTTCAACACATTACTCAATTCAAAAGAATATGCGTCAATAATGAAATGATGACAGATGTGCAGTATTATCGCGATACCAAAGAAAAATGAGTCAAAACTTCAATATTGCTAAAAGATATTTAATTACTTATATACTGTCTAGTATTCAGTACGTGCTTACACTTTTAAGGAAAACGCTAAATTTGGAGAAATAAAAAAAAGAGTCAATTGTTCCTTTAGTGTTAAAGACGTTCCGATTATCTAATAAACGGAAGAAAGCCTGACATAAAAATCAAACCAGGAGAGCGCGAAAGTCGAATTGCTATGATAGATATAATAAAGGAGAGCAAATCACTTAGCATATGTCCAGCATCAGTCATTATAGCTAAACTTTGGGCCAAAACGCCACCGCTAAATTCAGCAATAATAAAAATGGCACTTAAAATTGCTACCACTACCAATGATCGTTCAGCTCTTCGATCCTGGAAATATATAAAGTCTATTACTAAATTTTCTTTCTGATATTAAATTAGCTTTGCTTTTAAATCATAACTACTGTCTAAATTGGCAGCTAAATTTTCATAGTTTTGAATAAAATATGTATATAAATGTGAATAGAGTGTTCAACCACTTTTCTGAGGAAATGCAACTTATATGCAACTGATGAAACTGATGAGCTCATCCTGCTGAATAGTGACGTTTTGAAATGTCAACAGTAGATCTTGAGTAAAATGTCAGATTTTGAAAAAAAAAGAACAACTGACTAACAAAAACTTATCAATCAAGCAAATTTAACTGTTTAAACATCCCTTACATGAAATATGATCGGTGTAATAGGACTAATAAATTGATATGATAATTAACAGAATGATCTAGATACTACATGCAGTAACACGATCAACATGAATACAGTTAGTAGATTAGCAACTGATATAATTGGCATATTGATATAACACGATATAACACGATCACAATCGATATAACACGATCACAAAGTAGCACGATTGATGGACCAACAAAAACAATGGAATCATATGATCATGATGAGTGTATCATTAATGAAGAATGTAATCGGTGTAATGATAAATGTTCCATTATATTTGGTACTACATGTCCCCACTGCCACTGATGTAAAATAACTTAATATTTGTTAACTTTTTCGAAAAATGTAAGCAAAAGTAATAAACGTTACGTGGAAGCGGGAAATGAATAAAATGAAATACATATACCTCTTTTTGGGATAGCAACAAAAAATGACAGTGTTCCTGCAGGTGAGAATGATCGATTGATTCTTGTTCATCATCACTACTATCCTGATCATTATAGATTACATTTCGATCATCATTATCATCATTTGAAGTGTTATTATTTGTTCTCCATAATGACCTCAACATTTCGTCCGAACAGACAAATCGATTACAATGTGGCTGCAGTAATATATATCAAAAACATAATAAAATCATTCACTGTGACCGAAATATCCAAGTCTTATCGGTACATCCGAAAAGTTCTAGACAATAAGTGCTTCTACACCTGCATAACATTTCTCCACTCTCACAATTGTTTTCACCTAAGTTATTCAAAGCAATATTCACACGGCCCTACCACGAAAACTATTATCCTAAATTGATGAAATTTGAAAAAACGCAATGTTAGGAATGCAATCGGCAACATGAGTAAGACACTTCCTCTAATAAGCGAAAATTCTTGAACAAACATCGATTAAGGTGTCAAACACACCGTGTGTTTGACCTTCCTTTTTGGTGTCTCTCTTTTTGCAAATTGAATTTTTACATATATACTGTTTCTTTAAACCCAGAAAGTTGAAATTAAATTTAAAATATAAAAATTCCCCGCAACTAAATGTTAGAGAAGAATGATGAAATGACTTTTCACCATTTTTTTTTATTTTATTTTTTTCGCAAAACTGTGCTGTAAAACTATACTGTGTTTTCTTTTCGTATCAAACTAATAAATTTTTTAGTTATTAATAATGACTGTTGAAGATGATTTAGGTTTTAGTTAAGTTAGATCCTTAATTTGTGCATAAAATGCTGTTAGCAACTAATATCTGTAATACTTTCTCCCTTTATTAATATATCATTTAACTGAAAAAGGAAAAAATTTAACGAAACTACAAGATTAAGAACAAAGATATATGTGAGTGAAAAGTTAATATTCCGTATTCACCCTTTTTTTCGGTTTTCTTTCCTCTCTTTGTTCCAGTTTTCGGAAATTATGCCGGAAACGTATATGCAACGATCAATATTTCCATTTGTTCCTGAGTATGATCGTCAGATGTAGACATATTACTAAGTTCTATGATCTCTGTGATAGCATTGAAATATTCTAGGAATGCATGTAAGATGAAAGCCTTTTCAAAATGCTTTGATTTTTTTTCTAAAAAATAATTTTTAAAACTTGAGTCTTCTTCATCGCATACTTTAGAATGACTTGTAATTTAATTTTTTTAGCAATAAATCATCGACAAAAGGAATAAATAAATAAATATTACTTTTGCGATTTGTAAATTACTTCATAATATGAGTATAAAAAGAGATTACGGAAAGAGACTGTAGCAAAAGATCCAATTTTTCATTTTTAATCGGCAGTTTAACAAAAAATTGCAACAATGAATACATCACTTACTGAATGTTATTAATGGTTGATAGTTATCACTAGTAACTGATAACTGATATATATATATATAGCATGACTGATAGCTGTAACTAATAGTGAGCAGTGATAAATGCAATGGCAAGCTGAAAGGGCATTTCATAAGCAGTAAATTTTTATGGCGATCAACTATTTGTAAATATCATTGTTGATAAAAATAAATTAGTTCATAAGATTTTAATATTTGTAAATATCATTGTTGATAAAAATAAATTAGTTCATAAGATTTTAATATTTGTAAATATCATTGTTGATAAAAATAAATTAGTTCATAAGACTCTATAATTATTAATCGTAACAAATAAAATTATTTATATAATCAGTAGAAAACATACATATTTTATCACATTTTTACAGTTATAGACTTGAATACAGACTTGATACTCCTCGTTGTCATTATTTGTGACGTTATTTACCAAATATCCGCTGTTTCTTTCATTTTTTCCGATCGCTAATTAACTTTTAATCTTAATTCATCTTCAGCAGTTTCCATTTTCACCTATAATTGTAACTGAAATAATCATTGATGATACTGTTATCAATAAAGAAAATAAGATTTCTAAAAGCTTGCTTCTATCATAAAATAATTCAAAATAAATCAAGCAATTACTTGCTTATGGCTTTCAAAATTAAGAAAATCTGGCTATAGTGTTCTTCAACAACTTTTTATTCACTGTATTAAACCTTTTACAAATCTTTTCTTTTTTAATAGCAATATCAGCTAGCTAACATTCCTTTTTACAACAAACTGTTGATCTCCCTGTTTCATCCAATACTTCGTTCATTAGTTTGTATATCAAGAAAATTAATATTTATTTTTTGCAGCTGTTTCGTAAATAGTTATGATCACAATTATTGAGCGTATTTCCAACTACAGATTAATATCCAAGAGAAAAATTTCTTTCCTTCTTTCGTAGGTTTACGTAAAAATTGAAATTGATTAAAAACATTTATTAAAAAGTATAATACGTTCTCGAAATTTTGTGATATATTGAAGTAAACAAAAAAAAGCAAATATTCAAATGCAGGAGTGGACAACAACTAACTTTTAAATGGTATATGTTTACGCATATATTTTTCCATGATGAAGCTAATAACTTTCGTCCTATTTAGTATTACAATTATACCTATACAAGGTAAGTTATTTTTGAAAAAAAAAATAATTTTATAAAATGTAACAATTAGAATTGATCAAAATATATATTAAAAAAGCGAAAGGATTCATTAATTTTAGGTTTTTGACAAAAAATAATGTTAGTATGCTTATATATATATATGAGTTTCTTATAATAAGTTTTAAAGTATAACATTAAATCTTTTAAATTATAAAATACAAACTAAGAAACAATCCTTTATTATATGTGAGTAAAGCAGAATTAAACAAACTTAAATATTATGGCAAGGAATTGTAATCACGATTGAATAGGTATTATTATGTATAACACCTACATTTCGTGAAAAATAGAAAAATGAGATCCGTGCATGGAAAAATTAGGGAAAAATAGAGATAGATTACTTTGTATCTTGGCGAGACTCAGTTATCAGTGCATACCAGATATATCTACCTCAATTACTGCAGAGTGCTGTAATACATCAAATGTAAGAGTACCATATGACATCACACGACAATTCTACAATTCCCATTAAACTTATTTGAAACAGTTTCCCTCCAGATATATATAAAATTAAGTAAATGGGACGCAATAAAGTGTATTGTTCCTTAACTAATTGTATAAGTAATTCTATATACAAATTAAGCTACATAAATTTAATAACAATCCTTATTCAGCAGTAAATTATGCAACACTTTTGGCACACTTGTCCATCCATATTCGTGGATGTTACTACACTAACTGGGCTCAGTATCGAGAAGGTTCAGTGATGTTTTAAATAATTTCATTTTTATTAGAGAGATTAAATAATTTCAAGAAAAAGAGTTTCTAAACAAATGCGCAGTTTTTCAAATAAAAATTCGAAGCCATTGATTGTAATGGCTATGATAAAATGAGAAGAAACAATTTATAATTAGTAATTCAGCTTCCAACATAAGCGCAAATTCTTTTCATTACGGATTTTTTAAATCCATTTCTATATGTGCCTTCATCAATGCAAACTAATATGCAAATAGAAACTACATAAATGAAATTAAGCAAAGTAAATCTTATTGTCACAATATTAATTATAATATCTATCTGTCAATCTAACATGCATTTTCATTTTAAAGGAGAAGGTAAATTCTTGCCTGGAAATATTCCAAATGGACTATGCACCCACATTCTTTACGCATTTGCTAAAGTCGATGAATTAGGTGATTCAAAGTAAGTTGCAAATGATATTTGTGATAGTAAATATGAATGCCATTTTCATATTTTGCTCAAACTGAAACTAAAATTTTTTCAAAATTTTATCAGTTACTCCGGCAGTGTTTATATGTGTGCTTCAGTAGTTTGAGTTATTGCTCAATATTCTTTTCCAATGAGTGCGCAATTGTCCCACCAAATACCATTTCTGTGATTCTTCTTTTTCTTCTCTCTCTCTCTTAGACCTTTTGAATGGAACGATGAAGATACTGAATGGTCGAAAGGAATGTACTCAGCTGTGACGAAACTGAGAGAAACGAACCCAGGACTGAAAGTCCTTCTTTCCTATGGTGGCTACAACTTTGGATCAGCAATTTTCACTGTTAGTTTCTGTTTTCTTCAAAAGGATAGCATTCGTCAAACATATCGACAAAATTTCCAGGAATAGTTTGTTGACATCTGCTCTCGTTGGCACTCTCGGGACGTCCTATTGTTTTCTTTTCCATAAATTTAGTGATAGACAATATATTAAGGGAATAGCAAAGTCGGCGCAAAAAACGGAACATTTTATTAAATCAGCTATAGCATTTCTCCGTAAGAATAATTTTGATGGATTCGATTTGGATTGGGAATATCCAGTCGGTGTAGCTGAGGAACACGCTAAACTTGTTGAGGTAAGCGCAATCTCTTAGCAATTTATCATTGTAATCAGACATTGATATCAAATTTCAGTTCACAAAGGGAAAATTTCATTTCCATTCGTTGTTGTGTGTTAGTTTTACTTGAAAGAAAAAAGAAAATAAAATTTCCAGGCAATGAAAACAGCGTTTGTGGAAGAAGCCAAAACATCTGGTAAGCAACGATTACTTTTAACCGCTGCTGTATCAGCCGGGAAGGGAACTATTGACGGAAGTTACAATGTGGAGTCTCTCGGAAAGTAAACTTTTCTTTCTCTCTTTGCCGATCTTTCACGTCAGACTTTCATTTATTTAGCGATATAATAAAAATTAGAGTACTAAAAATGTGAATATTTCTTCAGCATTAAACTTTGCAGAAATTTCGATCTCCTATTTCTAATGTCATACGATTTACACGGTAGTTGGGAGAAGAACGTCGATTTACACGGAAAATTGCATCCAACAAAGGGAGAAGTTTCCGGAGTTGGCATATTTAATACTGTTAGTTTGTGAAGTGCATAAAAATTTCTCATGTTTACCCGTTTGTATGAAAACGAATTCACCATTGCTCCAGGAATTTGCTGCGGACTATTGGGCAAGTAAGGGTATGCCGAAACAGAAAATTATCATTGGAATTCCGATGTACGCTCGGGGATGGACATTAGATAATCCTTCGGAAACAGCGATTGGAGCAGCGGCTAGTCGTCCGTCGTCAGCATCGAAAACAAATCCTGCTGGTGG